TAACATGAGCTGCGGTCGCTACATGATACGTTTTACCGTGGCACAAATTCATGCAACATTTTTAAGAGCCTACGTTTCCATGTTACGTTCTTTCGCATATTGTTTCTTTTTTACATTCTTTCGATCATTCTGTTTATGGAGCATTCTTCAATTTGAGAAGCCATGATTGATTTTTGGGTTTGAGGCGACAAACTGAAGCATGAAGCAAGTTTAACTTTTCATTTGAACCTTTGCAAAACTCTATATGAAAAAAAAATGTATATTGCACTTTAAAACTAAAATATTCTAAGGAAATTTCTTTTTTGTCTCAACGGTTCATTTATCATTGAAGCAGAAAAAATTGTTAAAAACTTTAAATGTTTAACATATTGTGCCCCAAAATAGTTTTTTCAGACGACTGTGTAAATTTATTTACCCATTAAAAAGAATAGCGTTCTTCTGTATTCTTAAGGTGTAACTCGCTTTATTTGCAAGTATGACGGTGCTAAAAGCTATATTTTGAAAATTATTCCTATATTATTTTTCGCTAGAACTAATACCTAGAGAGAAATTAGGTTGGTAAAATTGTAGATGACGTTTGGAATATTGGCGTTCTGTAAAGAAATTGTCATGATTTACACACCGGTCCACGGGTGCCTAGCCTATGGCAGTTCAGCGCTCACTCAAAACGGAATTGTATCTGCTCTGCTGTGCAATATTACTATGTCACAAAATGGTATTGGTAGTAATATTGCACAGCAGAGCAGATAGAATACATACAAAATCACTACTTTCGCCAATAGCAGTGGTTGTAATTTGACAGATTACCATTGGTGTATGCCAATCGTACTAATTCCATTCTCTCTGTGAGCGTGTCCAAAACAATTACTTCTGTGGACGCGTAATTGCTTTCCGACTCACCATTTTTTCCATTTCACACTTGAAGTTTTTTTCCACTCAACATACGTAGTTGAGCATTAATTATATGTAGATTTCAATTGTGATTCAGTGATGAGACCTGGCACAAATAGGCAATCAAATTAAGTAGCGGACAGAATTAAAAAAAAGAAGAACTAATGCTAAAAAGTGTTAATCTCGATTACGAATTCTAATTGTAAATCGTGTTGTACGCATGAATCTGTGGATAGAGTTTAGAGGTGAAAATGCGTTGGTTGCTTTTATTTCGAGCTAATTAACAATAGCAGAGCAAAAGATTTGGTTTTGGATGAAGTTTTGGAATTTCCGTTTGGTTGTGGTTCGTTACTTGCATTTGGTAAAAATAACAATAATGTAATGAAATTTTAATTGATTTTAAATATGTAGTAAAATGGTAGTCATACTAAGAAAACGCATAAAATGTTGAACATTCTCTCTTTCTTTATCGTTTCATCTCAGTGGTTTCATTCGCAGCATTTCACATTTTGTTTGCACATAATTGGCCATCATGGTTAAAAAGATTGTTTTGGGTAAGACAGGTTTTTTTTCTTCTTTGAATCAAATTTTCACTACACCAGATTTTCCTATTAACAGTTTATTAAATTAAGACCAAAGAGTAATTTCCATTTCTTTCTTGCTCGCCATTCCATTCCGTAGGAAATGGTGCTCGCTATTTTATCCATCCATCCACATAGAAGAAACGTCAATTAAACATACCAAGTCTTTTTTTCTCTCTTCCGTCATGAATAGTGTGAAAGGAGTGAAGGTTACAAGGAAATGTGTTGAAATGATAATCAGCTGAGAAATTGGCTTGGCATATATTATGAGAATTCAGCGCTAATTTATTCATTTTATGAATGTTGAAAAAAGAAGTAGAATCACAACACAGAACACTTCCCGCTCAGTGAAGCGCGAATTTCATTCTCGCATTCAGAGAGAGCATATTTTCTGCTGAGCATGCCTGAGCTGAGCTGAATTTGCTGACTCAGGCGCCTGAAGCGGCGGTATTCTATCGCACTTATGGTGTGCAGATGTCATTGCTAGCTGAGACCCACCTTAGAATAATTGACAAACACCTCATGTGAATCTGAGCTAGCAATGACACCGTAAGTGCGGTAAAATACAGCTTCAGGTACCTGAGTCAGCAAATTTAGCTCAGCTCAGGCCTGCTCAGAAGCAAATATGCACCCTTTGCTCGCATTTTAATTTTATTAGCTTTCCTTTTTCACCAACACAAAAAAAAACTCATACACGAAATACTTGAAGAAGTGTATATGTTTTAATGTTTGTTATTTTTTCGCATAATAAATCTAATAAATATAAAAGTCGTGAATCTTTCAAAATACATTTAGTTGACTTTTAGCAAAAGCTCAAATACCAACATTCGTAATCGTAAGCGCACGCATAATTGTTGTAATGGACGCTTCCTGACACAATGAAACGATAAACTTCGAAAAATTTAATAAATTTGAATAGAAAATTGCTCGAACAAAATGAGATATTTCTGGTTCCAAAATTCGTTGTGCAGTGTGCACCGCATTTTGCTTTCTCATTTATTTTTTACGTTTATTGTCATTTTATTTATGTGACGACAAACCCACATTAAAAGAAATTTTTAAACAAACAAATGTAATACAGAAAATCAGTTTGTTTTTGTCGCTTATTACTCATGAGTTATAAGATAATGTTTATTATGAAAGACCAAAAGAAGAATACAAAACGTATAAAGATAAATTTGAATGACGAAATAAATTTGTATATAAAAAAATAAATATACAAATGAACAGAATGAGGGAAATAACGCGATCCGCACACACTTACGTTTCTCACACCAAAAAAGAAATAATTATGAAAATCATCCAACCAATTGGTAATTTCCATCTGTCATCATTGCCATAAAAACTCATCATCATCAAGCGGCAAGCGTCTCATTTACGAAATTATTCGTAATTTCAGTATCATCCATCGATTTTGGTAACTAGCACTGGTAATAATTTGTATGGTTCAGCCGTTCATTGAATACATTGGACCGATGCTTTCTCATTCATATTTATATATGTGTGTATGAGCAAAGATAGCACGGGGCGAGTACACTCATTTCACGCAAATGGTATGAACATGAATTAATACAATGTTAGAACGAGACCAGAAAGCAAATACAGCTAGGTTGTACGGCTAAACAAGTTAAGGAACCTCCCACGCGTCCATCATCATTGCACACTCATTTTGGCACAAGTAAGTTGAGACAATACCAGGGAGCGCTGACTCACACTAATACAAAATAAATGCTTGCTTCGATCAAAAATAGCTTCCTCCCTAATTAATGGTAAATAAATTTTCGTTCGCTACCTTTGCATGATTTTCTCTAATAAATGATATATGTTCGATACTATGTCAAACAAACCATCAAATTCTCAAACCAGAACTGTTGCGACTCAGTAGCAGATTCGATTCAAACACATATAACGAACAAATCGATAATTTGATGCCGATGATTTGAATTGTCGCATTTGGTTGGTGATAAGTTTTGAAACGTATGAATCAATCGATTGGATTCTTTATAATTACTTTGCATTAACATATATGTGCTTATTAATTGGCATCTCAAGTGAGAAACAATACCAGTTGAAAAGCTGAAAAGAGCAAAAATGAGCAAAGTCAAAAAAATGAATCCTGTAAATAAGCAACACAAACTATCCTATAAACAAAATGGAACTTAGTGGAAATGATTTTTTTCCCGTTTGTTAAGTGTGCAGAGAGTGTTATTTGATTGCTGAGTAGGCCTGAGCTGAGCTCAGCTGAGCTGAATTTTCTGACTCAGGCGCCTGAAGAGTTATTTTAACGCATTCACGCCGCCACAACATTTTCATTGTTTGCAAATATTACCTTCAGTAAAATTGAGAAACATCGTAGATCATTGCAAACAATGACAATTTTGCAGTGTGTATGCAGTAGAACTACGCTTCGGGCGCCTGAGACAGCAAATTTAGTTCAGCTCAGGCCTGCTCAGCATCGAAATAGCTTTCTCTCTGTATGTGTTCATTTTGTTAGGCGTAACAACGGCGCATATATTACGGGGATACTTACTATTGTGTTTACTATGGAAACGGATAAACCATTTCATATGGAGTCGCAATAAACTAACAACTATGTGGCATTTGATATTCGATATTCAGTACGCATAGATACACACATAAACATAAAACGAAAATGCAAATGCGATTGCATGCACACGTTACCTCGCTCATTCACTTGGGCATTTCCTATCTCCATTTCTCAGCCGCGAACACACATACACACATATCAAAAGCAATCGGCAATTATGCGAACAACGCATATTATTATTCATTCCATTGTGTCGCTTTAAATGGCAGTGCCACACTAACAAAATTCTCATTTGTTATAATCACTCCAAAAGTCAATTACCGAACATAACAAATTAGCTTTTGTGCTCGCGCGATAAATTCCGAACAAAAAACCTACGACAAAATACGATTTGGCGTTGAGTAAATGCGGAATATCCATCTATTTGCTCTTCTTCATCGCCTTTTTGTAATAAAAGAGAACCGACATTTCTTTGTCGGCATAACGCATCAATAAAGTCAATTGTGGATATGGGAGAATAGGGAGACAAGCTGTAGAGCCAATAGACTAAATGCACGTCAATCATTGGCTTACCAGCGAATACACAAAATAGCAGTAGAACAATACTACTACCATAAGTCCCGCCTCTTTTCACATTGCTTTTGCTAACCATATTCGTTGTTCGCTTGAGCTTAAGAGAGAATACCGATTAACTTAGTTAACTTGATTGTGCCAACGTATTAGAAGTGACGAAGAGCCGTGCCCATTGCACAAAACGGAACAAAAATACACATTTTCCCACAGTACGGAGAATCAGTGAGTCAGAATTCGAGCACACAATTGGGTAATGCGAGCGAACGAGTGTTAGTGTGAGTGTGTGTATGTGTGTGTGTACGTGCGTGCGTGCGACTGTGTTGAACACTCTAGAAACGGTAAGGCCGGCATAAGCGACAGCACCAACTAACTTGTTTGATAAGTTGTTTTATATGTTGAACACAGTCGTATCTAGGTGTTCGAAGACGTTGGATAGATTCGCTTCGAACCTGCGCTCCTGCATATGAACGTCATAAGTCGACAATTTCAATGGATATACATCGTGTGTGACGTCGTGTTTTCATTTATTACGGCAGTGTTTTTTCTTTACCAAATTCGTACAAATTGATCGCACCAAATAATTGTTTTCGGTTTCCATTTGCATAAATTTCTATTTAAGTGGTTCAATCGATGGCATAGTCTTATTGTGACTTTTTGGATTATTATTTTAATCAAGAAAACCAACAACCTTGGAAGCCGTAGATGTATAAATAACAAACCGTTATTTCCACATTATTATCGTGTTTTTTTTTTCAATTGGTTCTGGTGTGACATCATTAAGAAGTAAATCATACAAAATAGTTACAGTTGTACAAATCGCCTGTGCAGTGAGATTTCATAGTGAAATGACATTCTAAAAAAGCGAAAAAAGGTGAATTTTTCAAACGAAAAGTTTATGTTAAGAATTACAGTAAATTCAAGAGTAAAAAATTAACAAGCGCTTTTTCACTTCACATAATTTATGGCCAAATTGAAGGGCACGGATCAAAACAAATAGTGTCAGTTCAAGTGAAGTGGCATAAAAACTAGTAAAAAAAACGACCAACGGTGAAGACGATAGAGCCTCTGTGAGGTGTTGTAATCTTAGACTTAAAGTACTGAATTAAACATGTTGTGTGCAACAAATTCATCACCTCCACCAAGCCCAGCAGGCTCTGAAATTTCAGTTGGAGCTCCAAGTCCACCGCCAAAATTACAACAGTCTTTCGAGAATGATCGTCGACGAAATGGGGACGACTATTTTCGTCCATTGAAGCGCCTCAAAGGGATAGGAAATTCACGTGAACGTTCCATATCGCCACCAGCTCAACGATCTACTCTTGAAGGTGTCAAAAGTTTCTCCATCGCTGACATTTTGGGCCATGAATCAAATGCAAATAATAATAATATTTCGACTATGGCGTCAAATCAACATCAAGCTACGGTTAGTAGAGCTCTATTTAATTTGTGTTGTTCAAGGAATCGCGATTTTTTTCCCATTAAAATATTTAGCCAGGTTTGAAACACTTGAATTGATTCTTGAATTTCTCAAATAAATAGATTTGAGAAAAATTTCGAAGATACAAAAAACGAGCACACACAAAATGCTCAAATCAAATGTATCAAACAAACTGTATTCCCTTGAATGACATCAATCGATCTGAGCTCTGATTATTGTGGTTTTACAGGACACACGAGGTAAAATTGTTCGGCCATGGGATCAGTTCCGTGGATCAGTTCATGCAGTGCGTCCATTCCTGCCGCCAGCCTTGCTTCATTATGAGCATCGACTAGCCCTCGATTATCAGCGACATTTGGAACATTTGAATGCACAGGCTCAACTGTTGCGGCACATGAACATAAATATGAGCATGGATATAAAATCGGAATCGGGCTCCGAACGAAGCAGTTCAGCGGCTAGTGATTGCTGTTCACCAGAAATTGGCAGCGGTAGTCGATTATCTGATCATCATATGCATCATTCAGGTTCACAACAATCGCAGCAATCAACACAATCTCATCATAGTCAAAAATTGACAAAACCAAGTGACACTCCATTAGACGCCCTTTTTCAAATGACTAACAAAAATTTCGACGAAAGTCAAGGTTTGTTCAATTAATGTTTTTTAATTACTTTGAATTAATGTTCTTCGTTTTGATACATTTGTTGTTTTTATGCATCGAATTCATCTATTTGCATGCGATTCTGGTGGGCAAAGTTTTTGTTTTCTTCATTCGGATCCCACGATCCAAATGGTTTAGTTTCACTAAAAAGCAATAAAATGCTTTTGCAAAGCTTGCCTTCCGAACTTTAAATATCCAGAAGAGAAAAAAAAAAAAAACAACCGTTTCGACTTGTAATAAACAAGTCCTAATTTAATTCAGAATAGCGATATCTTTGTGTCTAGACCACTAGAAGATTGCACTCGCAATTTCAGATAATTGAGCCTGCTTCATATCAAATTGTTTGCTTCGTATTTCCCATAATCAAAATGTGTGGTCACTTCGCCAGTTATCCTACTCCATTAATTTTCTGAGAAATTGAACCGAAACCTTTTTCATTATACATCTGTGTTGGACGATTGTTTGAACGACACAAAATTAACATAGCGTAGCGTTAAAGATACGAAATAAACGCTACTAACAAAATATTTTGAAGAGGATATTTTATTATAAGTTGTTTTTTTTTAAACAAATAGCGTTTAATTTCATTGTTTGACATTTTGCTAATTGACGCCCGAAAAAAATTGGTCGGACGGCAAACAATTCTGTTGATTCGATGACATGAAAAACACAGTAAAGGTGCCATTTCCATTTAAATTATGAATCTTGAGTCGTTCATCACATTTCAGCAGCAAAAACATGCACGATGATGGTCAGTTCCATGCCGAGAGCTCCTAATTTTTCCATTGCCTTTTATCGCTTCATTTTTATTTATTTTTTTCTGGTTTCTCTTCATTGGTTAATCAATTGAAACATTGTTTTTTTTGACTGAACAAGAAACAAGCAAACAGGCACATATTGCAACACAACTGTGGTATATTCGATCGCGGTCATAAATGGTGTCTATGTGGTTGATATTTTGCAAGCAATGATTGGTCTCATAGGTGCTATTCCATTCAAAATTTAATTATAATTGAGATGAAATTGAATGTTCGTGCAACCCATACTGACGATAATTGAATGATTGATAAAGCAAAAGAGGCGCACAACCAATGCGATGAAAAAATTGAGTGGTAATGAGTGATGTATATATAGTGAGTGATACACAACAAACAATAAAATAATTATTGAATATTAAGATCGTGTGTTACTTTTAGCAGTCTCGTGTCAATTCAATTATGTTTTTTTTTTTTTTTTCAAATTTAATGTCTTGCTATAGCAGCCCAAATCTTCGAAAGGGTTTTTCCTCGATTTGTAAAATACTTCTTCAATCAATAATTTGAATACATACATATATTATAAAAAAGCAATTACTATCCAGTGACCGCAGCACGTCCAACAATCTTTTCCCTTTATTCGGCATTTTCTTTGGCTACTTTTGCCTATATGAGCAATAACAAACTTATAGTTTATAAGAGAATATTTCATTTCATCTCCACAAGAAAGAATAATACCGAACGACTTATATTCAATTCAATTACAACTGTATTAATTTCTTGACCATAATTCAATTTTTTCTTATATTCAGGCGAATTAGTGGTGGTCGAAATGAATTAAAATTTAAAAAGAAGAATGGAATGAATTGCAAAAAATGAAATACAAACCTCGCAAATCATTTTGAATAATCAGATTCAATTTTGGCTTGAATGAAGAAAAAAGTATGTAACGTATATATCCAATGACTCCCAATTGATTGGTATTTGGTATCTGATTTCCTTCTTCTTTATTTTGGGAAAATTAAACAGAAGTCAAAATCAATTTTCTCGCGAAATGATTAAATAAAATCACATCGATGTTGTTTCACGTAAATTCAACATCCGTTATGAGTTTCGCATACGCTTTGATGTGTGTCAATTGGTTCAGCATCAGATGTAGACTTCAATTGGGAATGAGAAAGAGTGAGAGAATACGTGCGAAAATAGGCGGCTATCGGTAATGCCACCGCTGCGCTGCGGCTGTCGGTAAAATCAAAGCCAAACACAATCAAATTCAAAGTAGTAGTAGTTGAATTCGATTTGTGGGTCGGTTAAATGTTAATCATGATCGATCAGCTCGAAACAAACGTGCCACAAAGAAGAAATGTTTAAAATTCAATTTCTTGTCTGTTCACAAGCCTCTAATTACGATTTTCGAAGAAAATTAAAGGTAGAAAATTTGAGTGCCAATATTTTGCCGTTGCAATATGAAATCAAAAGAAAGAAAAACAGAAGAAAAAATTATGTTTACTATTGGAGTCTAATTGAGATTTCAGGAAAAGGGGCCAACATATCGTCAAAAAATCATTGGAGTAAATTTCGAACGTATCTCTTTTTAATTATCCGTGAAAACATTTACGCATAATGTAAAAATGCGTAGAAGCAACAGGCCATCATTACACAGCATACGCTTTGGGAATTAACTATTGTGTACATCAATTGATGAATGGCTGGACCTCACAGATGCGCTTTTTTAGTGCATACACATTTTAACAACACACGCAAACACACAACCTCACACTGACTGAACGAATGAAATCCAGGTTTTTGAATGGCACTTCTTATATGCTACACATCAATTTTCTCACTCCTTTTTGTCTTTAAACTTCGTGTACCGTTTAGCTAATCAGCTATTGGCAATGCTGCGAAGAAAGAGTGACTGAGAGAGAGGACTTAGAGCTGTGAATAGGGCAACAACTTGGCTATTATTTCGTTTAGATTTGTGCAAAGCTTAGATTACAACAAATACATATTTTATTAGTCACACCTCACGGGAATCCTTTTAAAGTGCCTGCATCAAACAGCAAAACAGAAGAGCATCATTCGACTCTGTTGGTTTATGATTTCGTACAATCGATCTCTTTCTTGTAGTGTGTTTCGATGTTCAAGCAAAGCAGAAACATGAAGTGCCTCTGGATTTATTGTTCTTATTTTGAAAAAAAAAAAAGAACTTTTTAAAATAGGATTGTTAATAATAATCGTGTCTGAACGAACGAATTCCGAACCAAATTGTAGAAGGTGGAATGAGAGAGAAAGAAATTCACACACACACACAGTCTTGCAACAAAGAAAACTCTTTCATCTTTGCCGACAACATAATGTGATCACTGCTTTAGTTAATTAGGTGTAACTGAAGACCAAAGTTTTGATTTCCTTTGTGTGAATTTTCACGTTCCACGTTGTCGGGATATTCTACTTGCTTGCTTCTCTCTCTCTCTCTCTCTCTCTCTCTCTCTTTCTCCTTTTTCTCATTGCGTGAATGATGATGATTCTCTCTATTTATAGATGGACGAATAAAGAACCTCAATAGGAAAGAAAGGAGAATTTGTCCATAGATTTTATACACGCAACTTCATCGACCATTGTAATATCATTAATGTTATATTATTATTATTATTTCAAATCACTTGTGGTCGCCTTGTCACATCATTCGTTATCGTCTGGTCTTTCAGTTAAACACCTTACAAATGATTTCATTGTGATTCTTCTTTTTCTCCTTTGTTGCGTGCGCATACCGGAATGAAACATTAGTTTCATTCTGCATCAAAAAGTGCTATTGTTATTTAAATTAATGAATTTTGACAGAACAGTTACGATCTATAGGGATTTTTATTTCGGTGCCACAAAATCGCTATTGGCTTTCAGTTGAACGTTTTACGGGTAGCACACTGAAAAACAAAGTGACGCGCTAAACGATTACGGTGGTCCGCTAATTTACGAACGAATCAAGCTAAAAGGAGAATTGTGAGGCGGCTGATTTTTCGATTCAAAACAGAACTTATTTAATTTTCAGAAAATTACATTTTTGGCATAAGTTAATGTACATGTTGTGAACTGTTGAATTTCAAAAATATATTATAATTGATAATTTAAAGTTTACTTATTTAGAAATTGCATGGTCATACTTGCGTCCGATTGATGTACAGATTAAATTGAATAATGTACTCGTTATTGAGAAAGGAGATAAAGCGACAAATACTTATTATTCAGTTGTGTTGTATGGTTCGAATGGAGAAATAGTACATTGAGTTCATGGTTTTGATTATAATATCATCAGCAATTTGTAGAAATGTTCAAACATTGAAAGAAATCAGAAGTCGTTAAGTTTGCACAAAATTAAACGCATATTGCTGCGGTTCTAACGATATTCCAGACGAAAATTTTATAATTTACATTATGCTATGGTCATATAAGCTGAAAACGAGCAAACGAATGGATTAAAAATCAACTACCGCAACAAAGAGGAAGAGAGAGAGAGAGAGAGAGAGAGAGAGAGAGAGAAAGAGAAAGAGAGAAAGAGAAAAAAGAGGGAAGGAAAGAAACATTTAAAAAAGAAGTGTATTGAAGAGAAGCAAGAGAACGATCAGAAGAAAAAAGACCAAACAAAATAATATTGGCCTCCCATATTGATGCGATAGAGTTATTACAAGTTCTGATCCCTACTTAAAAGATTTGTCGGCTCCTTTGAACATCATCCAATTAGCTATTCGACCGACACCTAAGGCCTTGTTCGATATGTTAACATATATTTATACATGCGGCATGGGCCAACACAACAGTGTTGCCTGTATGCCGATCATAAGATATTCTGCATACAATTGAACTTACGGTGATTACACAATTGCCTTTGAAAAGAACAGCTTTCAAAATGCTTACAAATAATCGGTTAATGGATTTCTTCTTCACACAAGCACAAGCAAGAGAATACTACGCATTGTACATCAGTCAGAATCGAACACGCAGCCGCTGACACAAACACGTATAAATGTACAAACGAATATATTGCCAAAGATACTTGTGATGATACGAAACGTCAGTGCGCTGACTATGCGTTCGATGCATCGCGCGCGCTTGTGTTACATACTAATATACAGTAACGGGCAACGGTATGGTGCATTTGTATACGTGCAGCGCGTACTAGTTGCAGCATCGTCGAGAGATGTGTAAGAATGTGAACGAAATGAAATA